GAAGGGGGGGGGGGGGGGGGAGGTGCAGGGAGAAAAAAAAAAGATCACAAAGAAAAAAATCCCCCCAAGCGCTCAGGTTCAAGATGCTAGCAGGTCTATACAAGCATAAAGTGAGAGTAAGAGCTACCCAGAGCCTGCCCAGCTTTGTGGCAGAAAGCAATTCTGAAAGAAAAACAGAGAAAATTAAACAAAATTTTTTAAAAAATTTTAAAAGAAAAAAACTTCCAAAAGTTGCCTCAAGGGATCAAAACAGACTTCAGCTTCTATGTTCATATCCAACTACTGAAGCCCCCTGAGAAGCAGTGTAGAGGAAACTCTCTGTTAGTCACCCCAGAGCAGCAGGGACAAAGGAAAGGAGGGTCACCATGCTCTGCAGGGTTAACTCTAGCCTGGTCGTTACCATGGGATTTGCACAACCACCCCTTTTATACTCTGCCCTTCCCAATGGCAAGAGGTGTATTTGGGCAGCATCCTCAGCTTTTCATCACTTTATCCCCCTCAACTCTGAACGGTTGAGGATAAATGTTTGTAAACCAGAAGTCACTCACTCAAAGTATTTCAAGGGTAAAACTCCCCCTTTCTTCACAATGTTAAATTCCTTGGGAACCAGATTATCTGCTAGGGTTGCGTGCTGTAGAGAGATCGTGAAACATCAGCATAGAAGACGTGCGTGAACTCCCAGCTCCTTCCCAAAAAGGACACAGGTTTGGCAGCTGGGAGAGGGAAGTTCACATAGCAGCTTTTCACACTACTTTTCCCTTTCCCTCTTCACACATCCAGAGCCCGACAGAAACAGTCGGCGCTCAAAAGCATATTGAAACAACTAACACCGAACTGCAGTGGGGGAGCCGGGGGGCTGGAGCTGCAAGGAGAGCTGATGAGTTTTAGGATCAGGGTAACATCAGGACATGTGTATGAGGACCTCCCTTCTCCCAGCTAGAGATACACACAGAAAAACACCTGAACAGCAGCACTCACAGGAGTACATAAGACTGTACCACAGCTTCCCCTCTGGTCCTGATGACCCTCAGAAAAAGAGCTTCTGCCAGTCATTGCTTTCTTAGCTTCTTGGCCAGCTGCAACGTCACACAGGTAAGAGACATCCCTGAAAGGGAGGGGAAGAGCTTGTTCACTGACCCACCCCGCAGGCAACTCACTGTTCCCTTACTGCCGGCCTAAACCACGCATGGGTTTGTTCTGCTCAGCCTGAGGCCAGGCTTATGGTGAGGACTCCCTCCTCTGGGCCAAAAAAGACAGATGAGATCATGTTTTTTAGGCAGATTAACCTTGCATTGCCTGTCGCTGGCCAAAGACCGTTTTTCATGTCTGCTGCCAATAACCTATCGCATATGTATCCAACGTTCAATAGAAAGCAAAACATTTTTCACTTCCTAGCACCATTAAGCATCGCTTATTTACAATGAAGTGTAAAGCTATTCCCTGTTAATTCCATTAAAGCCAGAAGAGCTTCTTTTCTTAATCATGGATCATAGAGCATTCCTGTGAGCGTGCCATCCTTTGGAAGGATGGTTCCAAGAACTGCAACTCTTTTCTTTATTATTCCTGAAATATCTTCCCCTCAAATCTCTCCAGCCCAAATTCAGATGGGACAGCTGGTCCATCCAGCCAGCCACATTAAGCAGCACAGCCACCTACCATAAGAAAAGACCAAGGGAGAGATCTAGCTCTGCGTTCCCAGCTTTAACGTCTTTCCATCATCCTAGACTCCTTATCCCTTCTTTGCTTACCTTCCAGTGCCCATCAAACTGACAGGGTGGTCTGTCAGGTGTCTGAACTTGCTCCAACAATTAGGATAATGCCAAAGCCGATCTGGGCTTTGCAGGCAGCCCTGCAGACAAGGCACACGTGGCTGTCACTACTTAGTGAGAAATGTGCCAAGGAGTGGGAGAGGTCACACTCCGTGTCATTATTTCTGTCTTGGGGCTAAAGAAACTGGTGTGGACAAAACAGCCTCGTCAAGGGCTTCTTAGCAGCAGCAGGGCGCAAGCACATTTCGCAGGGACTGAAAGGCAGCACTTTGGATTTGCATCAAATGGCGCTGTCAGAAAAGCAATACAATATAAGATAAAGTTATCTTACAAGGTTGGCAAATTTTCCTTTTGCCAGGGGAATGAGCATGCACCCTCAATGAAGAGATGATTCTGGACAGAAAAAGGCAGGAGATAGAAACACACTCACCCTGAAGCCCATTGGGGCTTTGGTGGTTTGCAGGGACCATAAGTGCTCTGGGCTGTAGAGGGAACTGCTGGCACAGTTCAGGCTTCGGATAACCTCTTTTGGAACAAAACTGCGCTCCAGGGAGGACGAAACAGGCCTGGTGTGGCCAAGCATCCTTGAGGTACCTCTCAGCTTGGAGATCTCTGGAAAATAGCATGCTAGAACCATATCAACAACATTTATTCTGCTGGTGAAAGCAAAACCGATGATAAAATACAGGGCCAAGAAAAACCGCGACAAGATGCCTGCTCCCTTACCCCAAAGCAGGAGCTAAAACACTGGCAGCTAATCGCATTTTTAATGGTTGTTAGAATTTTGGTGAAGCCTAGAACAACAGTTACCTTCTACTGATGGGAGATAAAGCATTGGTCACACGACTGCGCCAAGCTCAGGTACACAGAGCCAAGGAATGCTGTAACCAACTGAAGTTCGCACGTTTCTGTAAAGCCATTTCCCTTCTTGTGGATTGCTAGCAGTCAGCTTTCTACGCAGATATGAATGCCCTAAAATACCAGCGATTGCCTAAAGAAAGGCAAAACTTAGTGCAGAGAAACATCCCACTGTTAAAGGGAAGCTGGAAGGACAGAGAGTCAGAGGCACAACCCCACAGCCTCCAGCCGAGCCCTACCTGCTTGCCGGGCACTGCCGTTCTGTTTCCTTCCATCGGCTTTTGGTTCAGGAACTGGCACTCTAGTTGTGGGCACGGTAAAACATTTGTTTTATTTTAATCCTTAGCCAAGGAAATTTGCAGTAATGAACCATCTCTAAACAGAATTAAACCCGCGTTTGTACTTCACGTGGTTAACGGGGGGTTTTTTGGTTATTATTTATTGTGAAAGACCCCCTTACACCTGACACCAGGTACATCAGTTAGGAAGAAGCCCCCAGTGCCTTGCTACATCCTCTATAGAGGCGCTTCTTTTTCCATCTACAAACTGCATCAAGAACAACTGCTTCTTTTATACACCTATGTGGGTCAGAGATTTGATTATATTTGTCTCCAATTATTAATCTTACCACTTTTAGCAATACCTTACTAATGAAAAAAAAAAAATCTTATTTCCATTAGTTTCATAATCACCATGAATTCTCTTCTGAAGCCTTTCCCCCCCCTCCACTAGCCTTGCCGATATATATTGTTCTTCATAAATGCTCTTGGTATCAAAACTTTTTGACCTCCTCATCAGCTGTGTCCTTGTGTACCATGGTTTCTCATCAGATCAGCTACATTTCTTTGCTTTCAGATACATGTTTGCAGGTACAGGCATAACCTAGGAGTAATCTTGCCAGCTAGTTTCTTGTCTTGCTATGTAAATGGTTTCCTGGAAAGAAAATACAAAAATTTGCTAAAAACTTGTGACAGAAGATGACTTTTTTTTTCCCCTCTAACAGCTGTTTGTAGCACATGATATTCCCACCAGAAAGGATGGGCACAGCTCTGCAGCAGCTAGAGTTTAAGGACACAGACAAGATTTTAGAGCATGTGGTACACAGCTGGAAAATATCACATTAAGTTCTTGGCACACAAACCCTTTTCAGGCCCAAAATAAAGGCACAAATGACCAACATGATATACATTTGACAGGTGCTCCAATTTAATAAGCATTAAATGGGGAGAGGTTAGAAACTCTGGTCTGTTCCAAGAGCTATCAACTCCTTCCCTGCGCTCCTCTCCAGCACTTCCAAAGACGCCCTCTCCTCCCATAGAGATGTGACAGTCAACGTGCAGCCAATAAAACCCCCAACTACCCTTCCTTCTCAGCTGGTGTTTAGCTCTGACATTTCCTGCTGCTTTTTAGGACCTGAAGAAGGGCTTGTGTAAACATTTCTTCCCACCCAGATCTCCTCCCTACCCTCCACCCGCCTTACCTGGTACCTCCAGGCTGGGGTCTGCCATGGCATGGCCATCCCCATCCCTCTCCCCTCCTTGCCCTTGGAAAGGGGGAGACTCGCAGCCTCATCCAGGGACTGCCCAGAGCTGTGGGCACAGCCAGCCTCAGGCCACCCCACAGCCCTTGCCCTGCAGCCCCCAGACCCCCAAGGCAAGCCAGTTCCCCCCTCCAAGGCACAAAGGGGCCCCAATACTCGCAGGGCAGATCCTCCCTGGCTCCACTGCCATGGAAACACAGGGCTCTCCCTCATGTTCTGGAAGATTCCCTCCCTCCCAAGGTCTAGAAGGCTCTGACCCACATCTCCCCACAGCAGCCACCTTCGCAGGACAGCAACCCCACATATCTTACCCTGCCCACCCCTCGCCCCAAATTAGGAGCCTCAGAGAAGAAAGAAACAGGTCAAGGCAATTTTTTTTTTTCTCCCCTAATAGCAAAATATATTTCAACTGCTGTAATACAGTAGATTATAAACAGCTCTTCGGCATGACAGAACACAGTACAGGTCGCATACACGGAACAGCTGGTGCCAGGGCCGTGGCCTGGGCACATGGCAGCGCCTGGCAGCTGCTGGCCCTGCCCCCGTCCCCACAGGTGAGGGGACAGCGATGGCTTCCCTACCCCAGCTGCCAGCACGGGGAGAAGAGACAAGGCTGAACTCGGCTGGCTCGGAGGTTCGGCAGGGAACCGGTTCATAACCCTGATGGCGCAGAGTGCATGGGCTTGCTCACGCTTAGGCTGGACTGCCATCCTTCCAGCCTGCCTACATTCAGAAGGTGGGAGCTCAAAACAGTTCACTTTTCTTTTTTAGCAGGTGGAGCGATTTGTATCATCCATGCCGTTTCATATTAAAAAAAATACATCAGGATTTCTGTCCCCCTCCCACCACAGCATGGGGCACATGCCCTACTCAGGTGTCTCATGAAGACTCTGCTAGAGGTTCAGTCTTCCTGAGAAAAAAAACGAAACACTTTTAATCTGCATCAAAACCGGGACACACTTCACCATACTAATAATGATTTTTGTGATGTTCTTGAGCAAGGAGCTGCAGCCGTACTGGTTGCCATTCCAAAGCTGGAGGCTTCCCACCTCAAAACTGAGGGAGTTACCATGGAAGCAAGCTGCGCAATTCTTGTGTTGGAAAGAATCACAGAAAATGGTATATATTATTATTAAGAACTTGTAAAGGGCAGGTTGTGAACCTGAGAATCCTCATTATTGACCAGACCACCATACTGCTAGCTCTGGCACTCACAGCCTAAGGAAACTCAAACAAACACGGTATAATTGACTCTAATTAAACAAGCAGTGTGCAAAAGACTTAGCATTTCCCCTCCAGTACTCTTGAGAAAAACAAACAAAAATAAGCCACATTCAAAAGCAATTTAGAAACCACGAAGTTGAAAGTAATCCCACTTGTTAATGCCCTGACAGCACGGTTGCCAGATGCCTTGATCTACAAGGCTAAAAACCCTCAACCTGTCAAAAACTAAGACTAGTTTCAACATCTGAGCAACCCTTTCTGGTTGCCTTTTGCTTGCCAGATGCTCAAGCCCTCAGGCTTCAAAGAGCGAGGATGCTGACACAGTAAATGCTAATATTCTTTATTAGGAATAAGATGGTGCCAGCTGCAAGGGAAACACCAAAACTTGGCACAAAGTGCCATGATTTGATCTTCTTTTTGAGAACACCGAGACAGCAGCAAGACCCGACACAGGCATCAAGATGACAAATCAAGTCCCTAATCCACCACACCCTGTTTGAGTGCAACAACATCTGTACATCAGTGTTTTAAGCATCACAACTGAAAAGTACTGGACTGAACTTCATCCTATACTAAGGAGGTGACAAAGCTGTTTGGCCAAAGGGTGGTGGTTTTTTTGTTTGTTTTTCAAAAAAAGAAGCTTCGTTGCTCCCGCACTTCTGTGCCTTCCTCCTGCAAAAGGTACGGTGAAAGATTTAGGATTAATCAAACTGAACGAGGATAAAGTAATCCACTTTATTCTCGGGATTATATATACTAATACTGCCAAGTTTGAGTATATACACATGAACCTCTGAAATTAACCCAACTGTTTCAACAGACAAGTTCTAGCATGAGATATTTCTGGAGGAGAGCCGCATATGCAAACACTGTATTTGGCAAATTTGACCTGACACAACATCCTTTCTGAAGAGCGGGATTCCTTCTCACAGAAAACTGAAAACCTAGGAGAGTTTAAGTATTGCCTAGCTTTCATGAAATTACTTTTGACTCAGGTTAGTAAAAAGAGAAGCCCAAAAGATAGTCTTAAGTGGACTGGGAGACAAGTCCCAATATTACAGGTATCAAATACCTAGGCTGTAGGCCAGTAAGGAAAAGCTGTTACCAAAAAGTGCCTATAAAGAACATTTGGGTAATTTGGAACTCCCTGTGACCAAAGTGAAAGTGCCTCCATCAGGTTACCCTCTCTCTCCAGTAACGGGAGCTGCAGTTCCAGTAAAACTGGAGAGACACATACCCAGATATTATGCAAGTTCCCTTTTGTGCTTAGCATCTGACAGAACAAGGAAACAGAAGGGACTCTGCCTAATTAATAGATACTGAAATACCAAATTCATGTAACACATCTGCCTTCATCGATGCGCACGGGAGGATGTCCTACCTCTTGAGAAAGGACAGAGCAATACCTGGGAAACCGATCTTCACCCTGGACAAAAAAGCAGCTCCGACTCCAGGCGTGGTGTCAACTCTCATTTCCCACCAACAGCGCCAGAAGCTGCTACACCGCACGTTGGCACAAGGCACCAAGACACGCTGGCATGTTGAACAGGACGCTGCCATTTCAAATGAGAATGCACTACATATCTGTAAAGCCGATGGCATTTTCTTACAGCTGGGTTGTAGTATTTCAAATCCTTCTTACTAAAGAAAGCCTTAACAACTCGTATACCTTAAAGCACCTGCCAAATGCAAGCAAAAGCTCTTTTACAAGTTAATGGTGTTAAAAGAACTGATTATCTGGAGCAAGAGAAAGGAAGAGCTAGAAGAAAAACTATTCCTCAAGACACAAAGGCCTTTGGAGAACAAAAATGCTATAAGTCAGTTAGGAGCTAAATGGATACAGAGAAAACATAAATCTTCACTGTAAAAAGTCATATAAAGACTGCACACACTATGCCCTGCTTCTGAACCTGATTCTCCAAAGCAGCCATGAGTAAAATGACAATCCCCTCTTCCTCTGCTCATTTTAAATCTGTAGGCAGCTAACATACACCGAATGCCATTCAAAGTCATCCAGAAATACTTTGGCTATCTTCAGAGCAAGAGGCAAATACCCTGTTGCTCTGCCGCTTGTCCCTGTCATAGCAGCAGATAGGATCACAAACAGAAGTTTTGTAGACAACCCATTACCAAAAGGGAGACAAAAAATTGCAAAGGGACGGCTAAGAAAGGTGGACGGAGGCCAGCAATGAGCTACTAGCAAATCTGACTAGACTATCTATGGTCCAGAAGAGCAGCAACTTGGGGGGGACCCCTGGATGAGTAGGATTCCAGTAGATTCCACCTTCAGCTCAATGTTTTACTGGCATGGAAATGGCTCAAACTGGGACAGCACATAGTAGATGCTGCCTATGAAGCCTGTTGCAATCCAGGTCAACTGGTTTGCCTCAGTCATGTTTAAAAAAAAAATTACAGTTTCTCCCCAATAATCAGGAGGCACAACTTCCCTTAGAAAAAGTCCGTAGTGAGTTAGGTCATTGATCCAAACACTTGGAGGACAACTCTGATTTTCTGTGATGACATGGCCGGAACATACCATTTTTACATCTTCATGTGACATGACCATGAACGTGGTTTTAAGTCATCCAGGAAGGTGGGCTGCAAAACACAGAGAGGCAGCAAGTTAGTTACAGGTCGTCAGCACCAGCTCCAGTGTGGTCTGCTGAGGTCAAATTTCCCTAACAGGAGAGGTCAAACCAGATTTCTACACCCTGCAACCCTATGCTTATCTTCACTGAACAGTGTGTGGAAGGGTAGCTACAGCCACAACGAGTTGTTTGCCTGCCACCCACATTACTCCCAGTTCTGATACATCAGGTAAAAGCTGTGTCTAGTAGCGTATTGTATCGATAAGCCCCTCATTTACAATGGTTCACTCTTAACTGAGGAAAACCAAACTTAAAAATAAGAGTCTGCCTGAGGATACCCTTGGTTAAAACTGAAATCAACTAGGACAGCAAGAAGTTTTGTGTAGAACAGAATCTGGTACCAAGAAAGTGAGTTACAAGTCAGAGAAAGCAACACCAACAAAACCCCAAACTGACCATTTATAGGCAACCAATTCTCACCGCCACCTACTCTAGCCTGGGAGAGGCACAACAGGCTCAGTTTTTGTGGGCCTCCTAGAAACGTTTCTCCTGACCTCACTGGCTAAGTGCTCCAGTGCCATTCACACAGCCTGAATGGCCAAACGTACTCTCAAACAGTGGCTTATGTCCTCAGAAACGTGGGAAAAATGCCCTTCGTTTCAAGTAGTGAAATACTATCAGTATAGGAAGAGCACTAATGAAAGCACTTTTGTTAAGCAACTTCTGGACTAAATAACTCCTAAGGAACTGATAGAGCGCACTGCCAGAAAGGCTTGTGCCACTTAGCTTCTGCCCTGTCCCCACAGCAAGAAAGAATAAGCCACTGGCATGGTCAGTTATCCTGCGGGAAAGGTCAGTCGCTCACATTTTCCATAGGGCAGTACTGCCGGGCGTACCACTCCTGGCTATAAAGGCAAATGATGACACCTTGGCCCAGGAAGAGAGAGGTCCACATGATCACGTTCCAGATAGGCCCTTTCCGACGGTCATTAAGGATGAAGTTGAAGACCACTGGAAAGAGGTGAAATAAGAAGCATTGTTGAGAAACAAACTCATGATTAAAGAATCAAAGATCAACTGATTTCACTGGATCTTTGTCTCTCTTCACTTTGCTCTGGAGCAAAAAGGCTACTCCACAAGGTCAGTATAGCACAAGAAAATCTGATTATGGTTGGCAGTAGAGCAAATACTATGAGTTGATTCTGACATTTACTTTTGCCGTCAAGCTGGCCCAGCTGTATGCCTCTGGGGATCAATACTGTTTGTGTTATGCTGGTGACCAAAACACACTGGCAGAGGTGGCCTAGAGTTTCTTAGAGCCCTCTAACTCACTTGAACTGAAACCCCAAAATGAAACGCAAGAGCTCGAATTTCTAAGTGGGCTCTCTTCCTCAAAAGTAATACTCGTCTTACATTACGACTTTAAAGAGGAAGGCTTCCAACCAGCTGACATACAGCAATTCAACTAAGGCTTGGCAAAGATGAAGCGGTGCTATTAAAATATGTACAGCGTCACATAAACAGCAGTATATCATATATAGCTCTCTCCCTCTCCATCAATACCTCACTTGTCTAAGTCCCAAGCTTGCAAACCCAGTGCAGGCATGTATATATATTTTTTTTTTCTATCTTTACTAAGCTACTTAGCTGCAAAAATCCATTCACAAAGTTTGAACTTACAACTGCAACTCTTAGACAGGCAACAGTTCCGTGTGTTAGTGCCTAAATAATAACTGGCCTCATTATTAGAAGGGCAAAGCATGCTTGTTTAGAAAAAATAAAATAAAAAGCCACAAACCCCACAACCCACTCACATACTCTCTCCTTGGAACTTACTTCCAAAGCACATAAACAGGCAAAAGAGAACTGGATAGAAGTAGCCGAAGCAGATAATCAGAACATATTCGTGCACAGCAGCTGATATTGTGAAGACAGAGAGCATAGCTGCTGCTTTGAACTTCTTGCCAAAAAACTGGAAAAGAAGAAGAATACCAAGCATTATAGGCTACCCTGCTGTGGTTTTAGTTTGGTTGTTCTGACATTGCTGGTGTGGGGTTTTGTTGTTGTTTTTTTTTTTTTTAACCCGAGCTAAGAAGGGCCTCCTCCAGCCAAGAGGCACATGAGAAACGCTAAGTGCTTTACCGGGCACCTTGGCTTTTAGATGTTTTTCTTCAGGTGTATTTCTGGACTCCTGCATAAGTACTCAAGTTGAGCCCACTCATGAAATATCTACCATAGCTCATCAAAATAGTGCGACATGACTTCAGACTGTTGACCCAATCCTTACATTCCCATGTCTCAGACCCAAGTTTTGCACACATTAAGGACTTGGAAATGAGCAATGGATCTCTAAAAAGCACAGTGGCTACCCACGACAGCTGAGGCAAGACATTTTTGTGCTTCTCAATGGACAGCGATGCTGCATCTTGACAAATGTACTGTCTTGCCCAGTAGTTAAATGTTTAATTAACAAAACAAAAGAATACATCTGCTTGTTACTCACCCAAAGGAAGTCTCTGTAGGCATAGTAATAGAGCCAGTCATGTACTACCACGTTCCAGGTTCGGTAGTAGTTTGCATAGGAAGTCGAATTCCACCAGTCCTGAAAGCACAGTTGAAAGACTGTAAGTGTAATAAAGCACAGAACATTTTACAGGTCTTTTCTGGGATAGCAAGTTGAAAAATATTGATCAGAATAACAACAAGCTAATATAACAAGTTGCACCATGAAACAATTTTTTTCAAGTTGAAAAAAATTGATCAGAATAATAACAAGCTAACATAACAAGTTGCACCATGAAACAATTTTTTCCATTACACTTTCAACATTCTACTTTGTATATCAAAGTTTGGTTTTATCCCAAACTGCAGTGGCTGAGATGAAAGAACAAAAGGAGTGCTAGCAGAGCTATTGGGTAGGCCTGGTGGCTGGTTCTATTTGTGCACAGGGTATATTACCTCAAAAACAATTCAGACTGCCAAGCAGAAATCAGATCTGCTCTACGGCACAGCAACAAACTTAAGCCCTAACAGTATAAAACACGCAAAACCCTGTGGATGCTTTGGTTGGTAAAACGATCTTCAGTTTCCTCCTCTTTCATTAGGAAAATGGATTTTAAAAGCTTTATAAACTGTAATTCCTGCTTCTTACCTTGTAGAACATCCTATCTGCAAAGCGCAGCATCTCAGCAAATGCGTTGAGCCAACAGTGAAGGAATGCAAAGAAAACCAGGAAGAGAATCAGTACACCTAGAAACAAGGGACATTCGGATCGGTTTTGCAGTATTTTCTCTCAGCTATAAGCAAGAGCATACAACACAGTTAAGATTGTTCTTATAGGCACTGACACAGATGAGCTTTGTGCTACCTATAAAAAAGGAAAAGTAAAAGGATTTCAGTTTCTCAGGTCACGCTTTCATCCACCAGGTCATGCTTATCCCAGAGGGCAATAGCAAGGCTGCCACAGAGCCTAGAACTTGACTTTGAAGACAGTTAAATTCAAACTCAAGCTTTTATTTTGTGCTGCTGATTGTAAAGTTTAACACCATAATGCTAAAGTCTGCCCGCAAGACCTCCTTTGCTGATCTTTGCCGGTCATGAATGCATCTTATATGAAGCATTTCACCTCCCTTCCATCTCTTCCATAAAGGCAATAGTCACTCAGGAATCTGGGTCTTACCTGGCAGAATGGAGTTGAAGATGCAGAGGACCAGCCCTCGAAGATTGAAGGTTTCCTGACTACTGTTGCGAAACTGAGGAATGCAGAGTCTCACAAAGATGTAGTAGGCATAGAAAAGCGAACCAAGCACCTAGAATAACAACAAAAAGTCTGACTCCCAAAAGAGAAATGCACATTTAACATATCACCACCTGACAGCTCTAGGAGAGGAACAGCAGCTGCCAGCACAAGTCAAAACTATTTATTTTACATTGCTGCCAATAAACTTCCCTAAGGGTCCAGGCAGAAAGTAAGCCACAGTCATCTCTGTAGCATGTTGACAGCCAGGAGCAAAGTCTTTTCTACTACAGCAACTGTAAGTTTCTCCAAGTCCTATCAACTCAGAAGTTATGACACAAAAGATTTGTGCCAATGCCAAAGTAAGTGGGGAAAGTACCCTGTGATCTAGGTCCAAGACAAGGGCAGAAATAATGGAAAAATACTTACTGTAGTTAAATCTAATATTAAAGCCTACTTTTCTTTTATCCCAAAAGGAGATGTTTAGAGGCCAAATCACCTCAGGCCTTCTCTGGCTCATGAAGCCATGTTCTGGAAGTTGAGGTCAAAATGCAAGTCACTGCTCTAACTACTCTGACTGCTGTAAGCCAGGTGTTTCACCCTCCATTGTCAAACAGCAAGCAGCTAACAGCCTTCTCATGCTATTTTATTTCATTTTTTAACTGTTTTGCTTTTTAAACAATGAATGCATTGTGTGACAATAAAAGTTTCATTCACACAAACCTATTACTTGGAAACATATCCACAAAAAGCTATTGAAGCTCATGTCCAGAAATGCAAAGATCAGGTCAACCTTAAGCTCAAATAAGGACTGAAAATTTGGACTCCGGGCCTCACTATTCCAAAATTGGTTTGAGTATCGGTGGACAAGTAGCTGTGCCAGTGCATTACAATACAGCATCAATGTAAAGAAAGAGGGCCAGAGCATGGATATTGCGCTCCCCACACACACATGCAGCTTTTATTTGTATGGAATGGAGTCTAAAGGCTTTTTTAAGCAAGGATTATTTTTTTTTTGGACACAACCATTAGTGCAGCAGATCGCTGTTTCATTTTAATCACTCAAAAGTATTCTTTTCTGGTAAGCCCACACCAAGTAAACAGTGATTTAATGCCAAAGGGAGAACTCTTCAGCAACACAGTTTAAATGATCTCTAAGAGTGCATTCTTCAGAAAGCTGCACTACTCACCTGTGCAAACTTGGTAGCTACATAGCCCCATCTTATCGTGGGATTCCTAGGAAAGAGAACACATGGTATCATACTATCTAAATAGTACCTCAAAGTAGCAAAAATCTCCCTTCAATTATTGATTATACTGACCTATACTCTGAAAAAAACTGTTTTTTTGATTTCCAGAGTTCTTAATCTCCTGACACCCAAGAGATGCCTGCCTAGATTGCTGGTTCCTCACTTTCAACTACAGAAGGACAACTACAGGAATTCCATAAATGGAAAAGTACCTGGCAGGTAGCATTATGCAATTACATAGGTGGTGGCGATCTGCCTGATAGTCGCCTAAAGGATTGCTGACTTGAGACTGTCAAAGTGCAACCCAGCAAAGTACACAAAAGTTTGGGAGTCCCCAGTTTCAAAGGCTTCAGCCCACCTCCTCAAACTCAAGAGACAGGGCTGCTTATTAGTGCCACATAAAACACACAAGCCTACTGCAGAAACTGTGTATTGCTAGATACTCAAGTAGCAAGTTCCTAATTTGTTTCACTTCAAGTGCACTTCCCAAAGAAATAAAACCACAACTGTAAAGCCAAAATATTATTAATGTTGGAGTGAGTTTTCATGACCAAGTCTTGTCCTTGCCAGGTTACTGACTTAACCACATCTTTATGAAAGCTCTAACTCATAAATTGAACAGATCACATCCAGGGATGCTTAACGTTGGCTTCAGTTTTTAAGACTACTTTAATGTTCTATTGGTGTTGCTCACATTACCTGGGATAGTTGTCTCTGTAGATGAGGGTGGGAGCAAAGAGGAAGTACAGGTATTGAGAAATTCTGGGAATAGGTACTGTGCCTGGAAGAACGGGAAATAAAAAAAAAGAACACTCTGCAATCTTTGCTTACTGACAGTTCAGTTTTCTCAGAAGCCTTTCACAACATGGCACCTTTATCACTTCCAAGAACCCCAATCTGGAACTAAAGGTATGGGATTTGCAGAGAATAAAACAAACTAGACCTATCAGATGGAATTGCCCCACCATGAAGCACAGTTAACAAGTGAGGCTGATTAACAGGTAGTGCAGTGCTGACACCTTGATATCACATTTCCTTTCCTCCTAAGGACGATGAAGCTGTAAGGCCTATATCAACATTTGGGTTCATGTTCAGCTCTGGCATGCCTTTCTGAAAGAGCTTCTGTGCTTCTACAATTGCTGTCATTTCAACTAGAGCACTGAACTGGAGCTGTGCAGGCAGCCTCTAAACCCCATCAGCTCATAAGAGCAGAAATAAGGAGTCCTGTTGAAGAAAGACTTAAGATAGAGATGACTTAGACCTGAACAATAGTCTAGCTCATTGCCTAATACCAAATGAAAAGGTTCAGGCTGAAGTTATAATGCAGAAGGCCAGCTTAGAGCCTTGTGACCTCCCCATCCAAAGTCACCTATTCAAATCATACCTCTCCAGTTCATGAGGGCAGCTCAAAGCAACAGAGAGAAAACAAGAGCCGGTTATGCACTGCTGTCAAAAAAAAAAAAAAAGGCAAGTTACTCACTGGACTTGTCCTTTACAGACGAGAGGACTCTGGGTACATTCTCCCGGATGAATGAATAAGCCTTCATAACAAGACGAACCTGTAAGACCAAGAGAATATTGGTTTAATACTCCCACTTTCACAGCTTCCCAATAGAGACCAGCTCAAGCATTTTAAAGCAACACCTCCAACATCCTGGTTTCCCTCCAATTTACCCCTTTTACAAGGAAAGGCCTGCTTCCTCTGCTCACGAGCCTGCTTAACTGACATGAATTTAAAACACAGCAAGGTGAAACATGCAGTAACAATCATGGCTCAGGAAAGTCAAAACACATCTCATTCACACTCACAGGACCACAGCATACAAAAGGACTCTGAATAACACCAGCAAGTCACTAACCAATTAACAGTAACTCAAAACGGAAGGAAAAAACCTCCTATGCATTTCAAAAGGCCAGTATGTTTCAGAGTCTTGAAACTGAGTCCCTGAAGTTAGATGTGTTCTGCAGCAATTACCACTACCTTGGAATAAGGCAGTGCCCCACGTAAATAGTCCACAGATGCCAAACAGGGTTTTTTGTTTGTTTTAACACTGAAGGACCAAAAGGAGGGCTAGTGCAAAGTTAATTCTTCAAGGCTACAACTCTGATCTCTGACCATTCTTGTTTTAACTGGATGTGGATCAGTCCTCCACACTCTTGCACTCTTCCCTCCTTTCCTTTGAAAAAGAAAATTCCACTTTCAATAAAGTTCTGACTACACGACAAAGACAGTTGCTTCTTGGGAACAGAAAGGGAAACAGGAACCACTTGTTGACTACGTACTTGCAGGTTTTTTTTTATTTTAAAGAGGAACGTTACAGCTTCCTTGTGAACTATGGTACAACACGTTCCTAAAATTGGTTCCAAGGATTTAGCATCCACAAGACAACTAGAAAGAAATAGAATTTCAGCCTTGAAGTACATTCAGGAAAAACCCACAGCAAAAATCTTAAATACAGGGTAAAAAAAAAGTGGTTTCCAGGTCAAAATTAAATTTACTGTCTACTTTTCCTCATTAGACTTGCTGCCTGTGAAAGACACTCCGTCCACAACCCTGGTTTAATTTAATGAATAAAAGCAACACCTGGCTCCTTAGGAAAAAGGACCCTTTCCATTTTGAAAACAAGGGACCTACCTGTTCCAGTATCACAATAAAACGGGAAGCCGGAGGCAGGGCATATGATACAGCAATATAGGTTGGTCCAAATCCAAGCCCAGCTGTTTGGAAGAGCATGAACAGCATCCCATAGAAGAGAGAGCGGGTTACACGATGGGAGGAACTGCAGTAGCCTTGGGCCCACCAGACAAAAAGGTTGTATGGAACAATAACTGTGGTACAGAACATGCACAGCCAAGTACAGAAGACGACTGGGAACTTTCCAAAAACAAAGACCAAGAGGTCAAATCCTAGGACCAGCCTAGAAGGCACAAGGAAAGAGACAATATTCAGTGTCCATTGTTTCATTAGAAATACTTCCGCTCCACTAAGTGGCTACAAAATGCAAAGCTTCCAGATCATAGTTGTTTGACAGTCTAGATAGAAGTGATTGTGGCAATTTTCAGCTCAGAAACAGACGGCTGTCTGTGGCAGATTTAAGTGACCACCCAGAAGCTCAGAGAATAAGAGATGAAGGACTCATGCCATCAATGCTGTCAGGCACAGCTTACCTTCAAATCTCACAGGGCTTAAGCACATCTTTAAGAACAGCACATACTTTAAGAGTACGCTCAAGCTCATCCCTGCTAAGAACAAGCACGTGACTAAACGATCCAAAAAAAACCAGGGTCCAAAAGAGCTTTTGGGGAACACTCCCAGGACATCATCATTATGACATTAAGAATCCGTTCTTCCCAGGAGTTTAACACCTAAAGAGGCTTTTTCCCCACCTCTATAGGCATGAGGTATTTTAACATCTAGCACTCAAACCTAGTTTAATTCTGCTTTGTGAAATTTGTAGGTGTTCCACATGGATTCAGTTTAGAAGTCACCCAAAAGGCTCAGGGTCATTAGATGGACATGTTTGGACTGACCAACTGGTGTGCACCAGGTACTTTAGTTCATTAATCAAGGTGAAAACATAAGGACATAAACAAAAGGATGTTCAACCTTACTGGCTATCAAAGTGACCAGAGCTTAGTCCTACACATAAGCAGCTCTTCTATACTAAGGTCAGAGGAGAAGGTAGTACAGAGTACACCAACACAAATTGTTTGTTCTCATGTGGAGGCTCAGTTGCAAACTGGACCCAAATTATCAGATTTACCTGGAGAACACAGCAATGATTTTCTTTTAATTATTTTTTAAAGTAATCAGAGAATCCAGCCCTATTAGTTGATCTTAGAGGTAAGCACCTATTCTCCCCCAATGTCCATACACTATTAAAGTAGGATCAGCTAAATAATATTCAATAGTGCACTAGCCTGTTCTTATACCTAGACAAGAGGGACAATGATTATAATCAAGACACAGCTGTAGTTTTGTACACTGAAGACAAGATAATCAGCAAGATAAACATATAATCCTACTTGTGTACGTGGAACACAGCTTGTGTGCCAAAAAGATACTATTTAAAGCAACAAGCAAGTGTGAGGAAAGCAGTCTTTCAGCATCTCGTTCACAACTGGCTACCCACAAAGTACAATCTTAACAGAGGCTCTGCCAATATCCTTGAGATTCTTCCCCAGGAAAAACAAAAAGTTCTATTTTTATTTAAGCACAAGTACAGTGTTCCAGAACCGTCATTTTTAAACAGAGGAAGGACTGCTGAAGTATTTAAAGTTCTTCTAAACACAGTCCTCCTTCATGCAAGTGCAAGCAGCTGAAAGCTACCATTTCATTAAAGATATTCAACTAAAGTAGTCCACACTCACTGACGACCCCTCCCTTCTGCCAGCCTTGTGATGAACTAAGCACATTAGGCCGAACTGTGCTCTCATGGAATATACCGATCTGTGGGATTTTCCTAATATCTAGCTATCTGATTTGAAATGGACGTATCCCCATAATAGGAATTCCAGTATACATTTTAAGTACGTCAAGTGAACCCTTCCCTTCCAACAACATCCCAAGGAAGGACTCCCCCTTCCTTCTGCACCATTCTGCAGTTTCATGTATTTCTGGTGCCTTGGAAGCAAGCATTTCCCAGCCCTGGTCCCTGTCTTTCCATGGCATTCTTACCTTCCTTCATCAATGAAGTCTACTAAAAGCGTGCTGAGGATGAAGACAATGAGAAGAGCGATGAACATGTGGTAGATCGTCCTGATGTGACTCACTTCAAACAGCTCACTAAGGGAGAGATTCAAACGCTATCAGGCACGGACCACATCACACCTCCAGTATGTCAGCTTTCAAATTGTTTCACAGTAAGGTAAGATGACATTACTGCCATCCCAATTCAAGAGACTGAAGTTAACATACAGTTTGGGTGCCAGTCCAGACAGGCACTTCCTCAGTTTATCCTCAGACAAAGGATAATTAGCCACTATCCCAGTGGTATCAAGGGGACTGTAATTAAAGTTTATACTCGGGGAAGCTTGCAAGCTATAGTAGAAATGTTTTAGAAAGAAACAGAGCAGCTTAAACAGATTAGTCTACATGGGTTTAAGCCTAAGACCACGGGTGGTGGTGGGGAGAGTACCTCAAAACAAAGGCTAGTTAGTTTGCCATTAAGGGTATTTTCAGTCAATTTAATGGAAAACGTGAAGTTAAGTTACTCACTCCAAGAGAGACCTCCTGGCAGTAAAGATCTTCCCATGTTCTGGAGGGGCCCTCAAGGACCTGCAAACAAAGAGGAGAACATTTGAGACAAGAAAGGAAATAAGGCTTCCAGGAAACATAACCTTATTACAGGAACAGCTTAAAACTGACTTACTTGGCTTTGTGGAGTTCCTTCTCTGAGGAGGAAACTGGGAAGAGGGAGGCTGAAGATGAGGAATCCAGGAGTGCTGATTTTGCCACCAAACTGTTCACAAACTCTGTGAAGTGACTGTCCACTTCCTTCATGAAAGCTGGCTTCAATTGCTGACAGAATAAAAACAGAGCAGAAAATCGTTTAACTCTGGAAAAAAATTCATAAAATATTTATATTCCTTTTTATTCCAGGGCAGTACAGACCAAGGCATCAAGAAAACATTCCTGTACCATCTGTCAACAGCTGGAGCCAACTTGGACAAGATCAGGGGCTTAGCCTGGCCCATTCACACACCTCAAGCCAGACGACTTTGAATAATGTTTATCTTCTCTATCAGATGCAACACAGAGGAGCAAAGTAAACATACTGACCTTCATGTATGTTTGGAGTGGCAGGTATTTCACCTATTTTATGGTGCCAAGAAGGTTGAGCTAAACTTAATACATGAGCCTCCAAAAACACTTCTCAATTTTAACCAGAGTTACATCTTTAGCATACAAAACAAGCACAAGAACATTTACTTTTTAGCCCATCTAGTGTTATCGAGGGGGGAAAATGGACCTTTTCTTGCTTGTGGCTTAGCAATCACCATTGACGTTCTCATGCATTAATGCAGGAGCGATCTCAATGACGTGACTCCAGAAAGAAGGACCAAATTTACCCTTCCACTGCCACCGTTTGGATGAAAACTTTCTTGTACCACTGAAATTACAGAATGTACAGAAAATTTTCACTAAAGCAACGAACAGGTTAACATTGCTAAGCATTAAGACTGAGCAGCGAGAGACACAAAACTGGCAGACAGCAAGACTGAAGTTCAAGAATTCATGGGATCAAATATCCCAGTTGAATCTCCTACACTCCTTTTTCTTCAGACAGGTTTGTACAGGTTATCTTTTCTATTATAACCAGTTGTGACAAAGTTGCACCATTTTTAGCCTATTCGTACTTTTCTTCTCTCATTTTAATAGACAAAGGCAACTACTCCTGAAGCATCTGGTTTACTAAAGACCTTGACTTCTAAGGGTGCATGAAAAACCATAGATGAGCATCCCTCTCTCTACCATCTTTTTGGAAAAACGCACTGATACAGTGAAGGGGGAAAAAAAAAAAAAAGGAGGTAATCAGCTGTGTATAAACCATAGGCCACTCTAGTCAAAGACTGCTTGCTTCACCTGATAAAGAGTTTTTCTAGAAAGGAAAACATTACTTAAGCTTCCCAATAATAAGTTATCCAGACACGGGCTATAACTCATCTTCAAAAGGCAGATTGTAAAATGCCAAGATGTTTTCATATCCCTTTTGTCTTGCCTGAAGACTAGTATGTGTAATTCATTCCTGTATTTTCCTGCCTCCAATATAGCTGGATCTGGTATTCAGTCTTATAACAGAAACTTTCAGAGACCTGATCTCCCAAACCCCAGGCAGAGTTTGTTTTTTTTTTAAACTAGATGCATTTAGAAGAAACTTCATGATAAAAATGTTCAAAGTTACTTATTTCTGCAGAAAGTGCTACATTGAATTCTGGATAGCTTTTTGTTGTGGTAAAAATTCTTACTCTATATGCAGAGAGAATCCTGAGATTCGCACAGTAGCATGTCATTCATATGACTAGAAAAAAGCAGGCAAAATGAACTCCCTCAAGGAAAGAAGTCAACATGTGTTCACAGTATTTCAGTGAGAACTTTGGGAATCTAAAGATCCTAAAGATCTCTGGAACTTCAGAAGACTGATTTATAAGACTTCTGAGAATTCAGTTCCTTAACGTCAAGTCCTTGGACGCCCAATACTTGAGCCTAGTGATGAAGCATGGCTGAAAGCTAGCCCCTGAGTTCCTGAACCATAAGCCTTTTGAGAACGCTCTGCCAGATAGCCATCATCTTCAGCACAGGAGACAGGCAAGGTTCAAGAAACAACTTCAAATCTAATTGCATACTGCGTTTTCGTTTTTTTTTTTTATGCAAGTGTCTACTAGCAACATTTGTCTGACCATCCGTTTGCCAGAGATTTTTCACGTTTACCTCCAGATTCAAGGTCCAAGTCTTCCTGCATGATAACTGTGTATTATTTCATCTAGTCCTTCTACTGATCAGCTGCTTAAGAAACACATATGTTTCCCTGATCACCTTCAGAATTCTCGACTGCTACTTAGTCTTTAAGGCTGAAAAGTAACGAAAATAATTTTCAAGAAGGGAAGGAAAAAGCCTAGAAGTTGTGCATGAAAATGATGCTTCCTCAAAAAGGCATTTGTGACACTTGAGCTCATTTGTTAGTAGGTATTTATGTTTCAGTGCCTAACAGTTATGCTAAAGAAAGCTGGAGCAGCATTGTTTTTGCTAAGAAGGAACAGGCGCAAGGTCTAAGAAAAGAAGAAAGAGCCAGATAACTGAAACAGGGTCTGTTAGCTCTAAGCTGCAGCAGGGATATGTTTGCATCTTACACAGGCCTCTTTCCACAGCTGTGTTTTAAGTCTATTTCCACTGATGGACACTTGTCATCCATGATATATCCTGTATTTTCATTTGGATTGATTTTATACAGTAGGTCACCCAAAAAACTAAGCTAAAAAGCCCTCTCTAGAAGAAAAACCCACAGGCTAACAAAATGTATTAATAGATGATGTGTTCTTACAAAATGCTACCGTCTAATGCAACAACAGCCAAGTAAGTAAGTTTAACTCTCTGGCATGAAATTCAAGACAATCTGAAGTGAGAGCACATAAAACCAGAAGACTCTGAAATCAAGATGCATCAGAACCCTACATTCCTCCTGTTTTGTAGTGGTCAGATCCAGAGAGACCTCTTGAAACAGAAGCTGCAGTAGGAGAAGGAGCACATTAATATTTAACTTAATAAAAATATTTTTCCCCTATTTGGCAGCTGCCCGTATAGAATAAACAAGCTTCGCCAGTGCTTAACGAAACAGAAGCGCTTAGGAGCTGGCTACTCTTAGATATTGCTTTTCTGAGAGGCAGAGAAAAAGATCGTCTCTGCAAGAGATGTGGACTTGTCCCTTTAAAAACAGTAGGGAAAAAAAAAACCCACACCATTGAGTACTTTGGAACTACAACCTGTAACAGAAGACACCAGTGCTCTCTGGCACAACCTGCTTTTACAGCATGCACACACGTTTCCCTACCAAAAAAGTGAAATAGAAATTCCTGCTCCTCTTAGAGCACTCAAATTTCCATGCCAAACAAAGCACTATTCATTCCTACCAAAACCCTGTCTTTTTTTTTTTTTTTAAAGTCTGCCTTTTTCAACCTAATCTCCTCTCAGCAAGAGTTTAACAATTTACTTCCTTAAACTACCTCTTCCCTTTAGTTAGCACTCTACTGAGATTGTCTTCTCCTAATACAACTCTCTAGGGCTGATATCAACATATGTATGTGTTTGGATTGAGAGAGGAGGGCACGAGTTCTCATTAGATCAAATAAAATACAACCAGAGCATAGACCCTACAGTAATTGTAATTCTGTACAGCAAAACTGCACAACATATTGTGCTATATTATCACGAACTATTACTACTGCCATTTAAAGGGCAATCTACTTGAGCAATTGCAAGCATAACTTAGTGCTCAATAAACCAAGCGCATTCTACCCAGTCACCAAAGAAATTAAACTTAAGAGAACACACCTCCCACCAACCTTCACTATAACAGGGCACAGATACACAGATGGCTTCGTTGCAGCTTCCCTCAATGGACAGCGCTTAACCAAGAGTTTCCTAAATCACGCTTCAAGCATCAGACAAAGAACTGGGCAGATTCACTCAACTGTCACCATTAAGTTTTCAAGAAAAGAATCAGATCATGACAAAACTAGAAAGGGGGGCAAGTATGAAAAGAATGCTATGCCATAAAAAGCAGAAGCTGGCTAATAATTGATGAGAAGTCAGAGAAAGTTGAGGGAAGTAACCCTGTAGCTTGCTTACAAAGTTGCAAAAGTTCCGCAGCATTTTACTCATTCTAACAGATCAGTATTTTCAGTCACTGAAACATGACAACATCCAGCCCTGACCAAGTGACAGAACACACCATTCTCAACTCGGTTTAGGATGAACAAAGGACTAGATTTTCTGACTGGCCTGCAGATGCATGAAGGCATCCTATGCACAAGTAACACCTGGCATCTACAAATCCCATTTAAATCAGCAGGAGCTGTCAGTGACCAGCACTTTTCAGAAGTCAAGCATCTGTCTATACCTCAGATACCTACCACCTAAATGGTAAACTGCAATCCAAGTCTTTGTTCAGTGGTTCACACAACAAAAGGGCCAGGCACTCCAGGAATTCCCAGGAATTTTGCGGTAGATGGAGGTTTTTACTTAGCCTTAGAATCATAGAATCATTATGGTTGGAAGAGACCTCACAGATCATCAAGTCCAACCGCATCCCTGATGCCGCCATGCCCACTAAACCATGTCTTGAAGCGCCACATCTAAACGTTTTTTGAACACCTCCAAGGATGGTGACTCCACCACCTCCCTGGGGAGCCCGTTCCAATGCCTAACGACTCTAACAGTGAAGAAGTTCTTTCTATTACAGCTATTACTGTAGCTTTGAGGCACCTTAAACAAGTTTCCAAGCTGCCTAACTCACGGTTTAAAATCTGAACTCCCCGTGTTTTGGGAGAAACGTCAGTAATTAAAGTGCCACTGACGTGGCTTGTCTTCTTCGATTCTTTCTGTGCATAAGAAATCACTTTGTCTACAGACTCCTGAAGAAAGAAATCCAAGATCAAGTTGTCTCCTTGCAACCAACTAGCATTCCCTGGAACTTAAAAAGCATAACAGTCAGAGCTTTCTCATGCAAGCATCTGTTGCTAATACAGTGATTTGCAGTGTCTGTTTTGTCTGCAGAGAAAAGATATGAGACTTACTCTATCACGTCCTCACTAAGAATCATTCAGAGAAGACAACATAGGAAATAAGATTCAGAGCTGACTATCCCTCCAATGGGCTGAATTTTAGGAGTTTCAGCACAAAAAGCAGTACATCTTTTGCAGAAGACATTTAAATACACTTTAGTTATAACTAAGTTCCACACCACCTACAGACGTGAAAAAAAGACTTTTAAACAGGAAAACATCTCAAAGGTGCAAGATATTTTTCTCTAAGTATCCACTCCCTAATATCACATAAGGGCGGCACAATTAGATTACTTCATCTTTATGATGGAGTTCTCCGCAATAAAATGAAGCAAGAGTGCAGGGTGATTTGCCCTGAAGAACATGCATGCTACAAAACAATGGTTAACAAGGAGGGTGCAGTTCACTGTTAGCTAACTTCATTTCATTTGTGCATAAATCACCTTAACATAAGCTAAGACAATGGCAGCTCACACAAATGCAGATGATGTTAGAAATACCTGGTGCTATTTTCTTTGAGGATATTGCTCACTGACAAAAAGAGTGGGACCAAGGCTCGGGAAGGTCATCTCCATAACCAGGGCAGCAGAAGCTGTGGGATACAGGCTACACGCTACCCTTTATTCAATGGATAGTAGGACATAGAGCATTTTAAAGACTAAATATGCAAGCAGGGTAGCTGAAAATCACGCTGCCAAAAGTTAGTAGTGAGGAAAGCTTCATTTTATTTACAGACCTCAAAGTTCATTCTTATCTTTGGACTTCAGCCTATTGGGGTCAAGTAAGACACAACTGCATTTGATAATACCACCTCTCTTGTGCAAAGTCAGAAGAGAGGAGGACGAGAGAAAGAAGGTTGTATAAAAGTTACTGCCTTCTCAAGCTATGACTGAAGAGGGGTATTTGTGTTCGAGGACTCGTGACTCTCCAAAAGACATTCAGGGTCCATTATCCCGCTCTTCCCCACAAGCAAGCGTTAGAGTATATTTACCTCAGCTTCTGCTATTAGCTGCATTTTCCTTGTTATCACATGGTCAACATCAACCCGGCCTAAGGAAGGAAAGCAAATATTTAACAGTTGCATTTTCAGCAATGCGAGTTGCACATCTGAAAACACAGAAAGCACATAATACAACAGCTCAGTCACGGATTTTTCATTAGTGCTTCTGACTTCTAACAAGGTCTCAGTAAATTAAAAAGTAAGCTGCAGGAAATTCATAAGCTATGACCAAGTATTTTAAACAGCCATTTAGGATCACAGCACTATAAGGCAGTCAACAGCTGATAATGCGCTGGATTTTCAAAAGCTTTATTTTCCATCAGCAACTCTGCAAATCTTCCCAAGGTCCCTGAACATATTCAGTCAGCTTTGAAACAGCAATTAGAACCACCCTTAGAAGGTCATACCCAAGTGTGCTGATCTTTTATCAGAGTTTTATCTTACATGCAGCAAGCTAGACATAAGATTAGGTTGTCTAGAGCTCTCTACATTGCCAATAGGCAAGGCAGTCAAGCCATGACTATCTGTAAAATAACCAGCTCTGAAGACAGGCTAAATGGCAAGTTGGAAGGTTATTCTGTGTTCAAACCTGGCTGCTCCCACTTCATCCCCCAGAAGTGCTAGACATCAGTCTGACTGTATTCCTCAGTATGTTCCATTGCTTAAACAGTCAGGTTTAACCATGCCATGAACATCATCTGACTTTTGTCATTACTAATTCCATTGGCTCACATGTAAAGCCTCAAATATCACCTTTCTTTTGCATAAAGGACCATACACACCTGAGATGCCTCTATTACATCAAGCAGAACACACACATCTCAGCTAGTCTGTAACGTCTGATTTTTAAGACAAGGTTTATCTGCAATGGTTGTAGAGTGCTAGTAAGCCAGTTGGCGTTTCACTTCTCCAGTAGGAACAACAACACAGAAGATAAAGTTACTTAAAAGAGAGTCTTGCACACGAAGGGAAAGCAAGATTAAAGCAGCAATATCCACCCCGCTGAAACGCTAGTCAGGGTGAAAAGATAGCAACAAACCTTGCCTTGTGCATGTCCTTTGGCAATTATAGCTACAACAGTAACTTACACAGCAACACATGGCTAGCATTACAACTTTCACATTCAGTCACCACTGAAAACATCACCACTTTTAGAAAAAGAGGATACTGAACTGATTCTCTAGTAACATTTCCAGTGAAGCAGGATCTAAGAGAGTTGCAATAAAGGTGTCAATGTTGTGCTGCTGTGCGACGAGAAGACAGATTCATAGCAAATATCACAGTTCATAATGCAGCCTCCTTGTCTTGTCGTCCTTGTACGTGCACAGCCTATGCACAGAAAATGCAGAGTGTGGGTTTTTTTTTTTTAACAAAAGCAAGTGCTTCTGTGATGCACACTGGTCTGAAGGTGCTCTTATGAGCAACCGCTTGTAAGAAGTTTAGATAGACCTACTTCAGAGATGACTTCAATTTCTAGTACTGGAGAAGAGTTAAGTGAAACAAGAAACTGTATCTTCAGTGAAGCTACGCCTACTTGTCAGCAGTAATTCTCCCCATCCCCGCCTCCAAATGAAGCGGGAAGATGGGTTTTTTTGTCTATAAGAACTGCTACACAAACTATAGACTTACAAACAGACCAGCAACAACAGCCTATTACTTAGCAGTCTTGTAATGCAACACCAAACAAGGAAACTGCTTAACACTGAATTTTTGGCTGCAGGCAAAGATCCATTTTGACAAAAACAGACTTCCTGGTTGCTAAGTATCTCGCCTCCAAATCAAAAAAAACCTACCTCAGCATTTAAGCTCATCATGCTGTTACACTTGCTGAACAGCACTAGTTTGGAAAATAGCTTGAGAGAAGAGCGTAAAATACCATTAGAGGGTCCCTTGTCCCACTCAGCTTGTGCATTTTGCTGGTCTCAAATGGATTCTCCCCCCGCCCCCCCCCATAAATGTAAAGAAAAAAAAAAGGCAAGTTGTTCCACAAGCAGCAGAACTGTATCCCCTTCATACTATCTCACCGGCTCTACTCCCTCATTGCGCCACTCCACAATATTAAGAACTCCCTATCCCCATTAATACTACACGAAGAACAACTTTGTGCTTACCCGCTAGCAAGCAGACCAGACAGAGCTTTGAGCTCCAAGCACAACTAACCTTTTCCTGTAGGAAGGTAAGAATTAGTGTTTCTTATCCAGCTGCCAGTCTTCAAAACTATCAAGTTTGCATGAAGTTGCCTGACATGGTCAAAGAGAAGAGGACACATGAGACTTCAGGGATTGCACTATTTCCGTTGTAAGCCAAGCTAAAAATAAATAGCTCCTGCTTTGACCACATATTTCCTGTCAGATCTTGGATTTGAAGTCTCAGTTATTGTAACTACCCAGGAGCAGCTCGCTTTGGAAATAAAACTCCTTTTTTGACTTACAAGACCTTGAAGATGGATATAGTTTTACAGATACCTAATGTACAGCTTTAATGGTTGTACAGAAAACGAGGCCAGTCTCTGACCTACTGACATTGCAATGGCTAAATTGTACGCAGTGTCCTTCCTATCACTTTATTCACCCACACACTGGCGTGTAGGCACAGACTGGAGTAGAAACACGGCATCTTTTGAAAGGCTTTGAAATCAAGATCTCCATGTCTTTAGTACATGCATCTCAGAAAACAAAGTAAAACCACCTGTAAGCTTGTTGCTTCTTTTCTAGAACAATGAGTTTCCTGTAGAAGAAAATCCACTCCAAACCAACAACTCATTCTGCTGTGTTGCATCACCCCATAAACTTAAGCCGCGTCACAAGGCAGATACCAGAGAACACATAACTCATCATCTTATTGAATCATTCATCTTCTGTTGTGCAAGCTGCTACTTATGTTTTGTGAGGTCATTTGAGAAGAACCATCACATGATTTTGAGTCTAAAAGGAATTGTGCACTGCTGAGAAGTCCAAATCTTCGTTTTCCTTTGACACTGAAAATGAAGACTGGATCCCTCTGTATCACTTCAGCATTGCAACATCATTACAAAAACGGACTCAAGGCTGCACAATACAAGCAAGCATATCTTTGCATTTCAAACAACATGGGATATGCTTTCAGAAAATGGGAAATATATTTCAAATCATACGGAAGAAAATATTCTTTGAAGACTAGCATGAAATAGTAGCAAATTTCACAAGAGACTGAAGCAGGGTTTGCTTTGAAAGAGCTTTGTTCACAGGGAGAACTTTTAAGTTAATGGGAGTTGTGTTCCCTTCCCATCAGCAAAGACATTGATAAGATCTTCAGCTGGCCACTTATCTTGGGCTTGTAGAAACTGATCCTCGTAGGATGTAACAGCTCTGCATGGCCCAAATTCCAAGCTGGTTCAAAAGTCAGAAATAAAAAAAAAAAAGGCCAATTTAAATGTAAGCTCTGTTTCCACAGGCAACCAGGCTAATAAAAGATCACCTGAAGATTGAGAAAGCTTACTGTTGTTGAAGACTTGAGCAACTTCAGCTTCACAAAAGATTTCCAAACCATCTTTCTCAAAGATCTCATTGTCCCTTTTTCAACCTACTCTTGCACATGTTACAAACACGTGACATTTAAGGTGACTAGAGAAGCGCCCCATTCCTGTGACCTGTTCATATTGCAGCTTGGGATCCAACAAAACCAGCTTCTACGTAAGATGCTAACCAGCACTCTACTAAGCAAGCTCTCAAAAATTAACTGTGTTAAAAGGCATTCATTTTATTTAACCACTACAGCCTGCAATTACTACCAAGGACACAAGTGGGAATAATTCATTTCAGTAAAGCTGTGGCTTGTGTGTAGTGTTACAGTTCCAGCCTGTAGTGACTTCACCAGCCACAGAAGCTGCCTGCAGTCCAGCACTCCGAGCCACCACCACTCAAACTGTTTCTGCATTGTGGCAATAAGCTTATTATTGAGCAGTTAGAACAACCCAGGGAGACTACTGTTATCTAAGTCCCTGCACAGCATTCAAGACAAAAATACCTCTACGCAGAAAAGCTAGGGAAAGCACACAAACTGCAGTTTATTGCCACATGTACTTCCAAAAAAGACACTTAGAACAACCAAGCACACCTCTCACAGTTCAGAAGCATTTTTCCCTGATGACATTGTGATCTGTTTAGCTTCAGGATCTTCATGGAAAGTCACAGATACGAACTGTACCCAATACTGCCCTTCTCTAAAAGAGTTTAAAAATATTATCTTCATTATTGTTTGATTGGACAACCTACCATTCAAGAGGTTAAAGCAACATAGGCAGAAGGATTTCATTACTGTCGGATTCAAAGGCTCCCTCTCTAAAAACACTGAAGATGTTATCTGAAGGAAAGCAATGTTAAAGCCAACCTAGCGCAAAGTTACTGTAAAGCAGGGAAGTACAATACAACATATATCTTAATAATTTGATGCTAATAAGTCTTATTCTTAGTTACAGTAATTTGGCCACTCAGCAGATAGAGGCAAGTTATGACTAGATTGCTCAGCTGATCTGCTTAAAGAGTGCACAGGCCATAGGTCACTGCACTGCAGTTGGGCAAGGAATTTAGTTTAAAAGTCATTTCTGCAGGGACATGGGACCCAAACACCCCCTTCACTAGCAGGAGGAAACACCAGCATTCTTTACACCATGCCACCATGTCCACAGGCTCTTCACAAGAAACTGCTCATTCACCAAACTCACAGGTTGCAAAACATGAGAAAGCCTAGAATTACCAGAATCCAGCTAGTCTCACACAAGACAGCTCTGCTTGATCCATCTCCCAGAAACACATCTAATGTACTCAACTCAAACAGCTTAATCCCAAATTCACTAATCCATAAGAAATAGCCTGTTGATACAGCAATAAGCGTTCGTTGTGAGTCAGACAGCAAACCCCAAAGCTTTCCACATTGCTCCCAGTTTCAGAGCTCCCACCTCCTACGTCTACCTGTAGGCACACACAATTCATGCTGTGGCATGACCTTTTGCACTGAGAATGATCAATAGTAACCTCTTCAGTGGAAGAAAACAATCCCTTTCTAAGATCAGCATTACCAAACAGGCTTACTCACACCAAACAAAGATATGCCACATTGCTTGTTTGCAGATCAGTCTCCGGAGACACTTCTCATCCTTTTCTGATTTGTGAGGGCAGACTCCAAAACCATCAGTTTACTGCCTTAGCATTTGAGAGGCACTCGAACACATGCTTAACAGCCATGTCCTCTCTAACCTTTTAAGATCTGCCCCTGCAGTTTCTGTTATGCTTATTCCAGGTAAGTTTTCCTGCAACCAGCAGTGCCCGATATCAATATCCCATTAAGCATTACAGTTTTGTATTTCTTTATGTATCTCCAGCTCAAAACACAGACTAACCTTAGTAAGGAAGGCTGACTTTTGACAGGGGATTATTGCTGCCTAGATCACCTGTTGACTCTATGCCAGGACCAAATTAGTTGTTTCATTATGACACTGGAGCCGATTCAAGGAAAAAAGATGTATGAGACTGAAGTTCAGCTACTCTGTCAAAGTGAAATTACAGGCTGAATGATTACAAGATACAAAACACATCAGGGGACAGAAGAATTCTTCTGGCAATCTCAAAGCTATAAATATTTCCACATTGCTATAAATTTGGGGGTACCTGAGTACAAACTATTCAGTCCTAGAACTCAAACAATGAGTTTTCAGAAGCATTGATGAGGCAAGAAAAAAAAAATAACTACACAAATGGAAAAGTCAGACCTAATGTAGCTCTAAAGCCAATATCTGGATTAAAATTATTCCTCTAAGCAATTTCAGATCAGCCAATGCATTTGAGTTTTAATGAAGACAGGGTTAATGGCCTAGAACTTTCTACAGAAAGTTCATACACTTCTGGAAACAAGTCAATTAGCCCTTGACACATGGACTCTTAAGTTAAAAAGCAGATTGTGTTTGCTAATCAGGGAGGATCAAGGGTGGGAAATCACATTAGCGATTTACTTTTTCTACAAAAATAATTGCCACAGAAACTACAATATTTACTTGCATACAAGATACTGTCTTGACCTGGCTAGAATCCCTTGACTGCATTAAACATGCACCTTGTCTAAAATTCTACACAACACCCAGAGTTAAGATGCTACAGTATAGAAACTATCTTGCCAGACAGCAGATCATTAGCCTCATGCTGCCTTTGTACACAACAGGACTAACGCCTTAAACAGCTATTCTGAAGCCAATAAATAGCTAGGACAAAAGAAAGTGAGAAAAGAACTCTATGGCTACTCCTTTTGAGAAATTCTTCTACCTCAGCTGTGCTTTCACAGAAAGCCCTACCTAGTTACACAAAGCATACTGGACTACATGAGGAGGTCGCTATCTGGAACACGTGAACGCTTCAACTTTGAAAAGCTTCAACGTTTGTGTCACAGAGATGCTGATCTAATCCCACTGTATGGAGGAATTCCTGACCAGAGGGATGCATCTTCCTCCTGGGCCTATAATGTGGTCAGGCATCAGACTCATGCCTCCTACCTCCCTGTGACCATCACTGTGCTGAGCAAAGAGTTTGCAAAAACTGCTAACACTTCAGTCTTTGTGACACTTCTGCTGAATTGGCAGCAGCCTAGAAGGTAAGAGGCACCTAGTCTTAACTAACCAGGATTCCTCCTCACTGCCCTTCACCACAGTTTGTACTGTATTAGAACACATTGCATTGTTCTAAGCCAAACCACAAGGCACATGTACATACACGATAGCTGGGTACACTTGCAAGAGATCTACCTCAGAACGTTTACTTGCTACGCACCCACAGTATCTCACCTGCCATGTGACATTATGCCACATCTCAGAGGTATTAAAATGAAAGGCTTTTTAAGACAGGCACACCTACCTATCAACTGCTAATTGTCACAGCTGTATTTATTCTTTACCCACAAGCTTGCAGGAACTCAAATTCATGCGTAACAGTTAAGGTGTTTACATAGACAAAAAGGTAGAACTCTGCTCCTAAACTCATCATAACTGTTTTCCAGTAGCCATCAACTCCATGCAATCTTCTAAAAACAGCATTAATGGAACAGTCCCATTCAATTCGATTAAGATCACTGTACCACCAACAGCTTAAAATCCCAGTTCTCTAAGTTTGTGAGATGGCTTTCCCTCCAACGTATTTTTCACAAGAAATCTGACTTGTCTTAAATTTCCTCCCACTCCTGTTTCAGTTAAAAGAACTACTATGAAATAGTGACAATATTCAGAAGCATACCAGTAAGAATTATCTCCTTGAGTCACTGGCACCAGAGTTTTGGAACTTATACTCATGTGGCACACTGTGACAAACTAGTTTAGATTTTTGCTTACTCTGTCTCCCAAAGAGAAAGGAAACTAGCTGCAATTTCATCACTAACCTCCTTATCACCGGGATGGAACATGGCACAGCACAACCCAGGAATTAGAGACAGTCACAGAGTCCACAGGAAAAGCCACTCATACTGCCACACAACTGTCCCTGCAACTCAAGGGACAGGACATAGGCATCGGTGACCCTTCCACATAGCCAACTAAGCCACATAACTTTTAACGTGACCACAATACAAATGAATACAAATCCCAACTGTTTAGTTTTCTTTTTTACGGCACACAAGGTTGAGACTGGATAGAAGGGAAGGGGTCTGACATTAACAGAGCCCCAGAGGAGCAGAGACTCATTCTTTGTGGCATCCCACCTCCATCTGCCTGTGAGGACGGATACACCAGCTTAGCCTGGAATGTTAAAGACTGTTTTGTTCAATCTTGAGGAAGCCACATACTTAAAGATTGTAAAGGAAGCAAGACGAAGTCCCCAGAAAAAGTATTCATCAGGATTACTCAAAATTGTTGTCAAGTTGCCTTTGCACCATTTACAGCATTGAAGCACCTCCTCATCATCACACACGTTTGTCCTGTTAATCACTTTCTTTACTCTAGATCCCTGTAAGCACTGCAGTACACAGCTCCCGAGGGAAAGTTCTGCAGCACAGCACTCCAGACAACCTAAACCTGCTGAAGAAGTGCAGCTGGTACACAGGGAGCTCCACCTTGGCAGCCCTTCTACAAGCAGAAAAACTGAAATGAAAGAGCAAAGAGGCAAGAGCCATGAGCTAGAAAGGACACCTTAGAGGAGATCACACGCCAGAGATGCAACTAATCCCGAGCAAAAGCGCCTCACCATTGCTTGAGTTTTGAAATGACCTCTCACTCTCAGGTCTCCTCTGCGTTTCTTCATTCTCAGGGGTCTTGCAGGTTGCAGTGCAGCCAGACTGGCGTTTTCTTACAGTGTCTTCACCTGCCATTGCTGCCTAGCTAGACCAGAAAAGGACAGCAGATAATTAATGACAAAAGAAACTCATTTACTCTTTACATCATTCAAGAATAAATTTATTAGCCTTCTTTAGTGTAAAGTTAGACTTTCTTCCCTCCATTATGAATTCAGAGCAAGGGCAGGGGAAATTAAGCTCACACTTGTATTAGTCACTTACTGTGGATCACACTTCCTCTCCCTTACTATAAACAGTAAAGGAAAAAAGTAACCAAGCAAGTTGTTCCACCACCACCAAAGTACGCCCCCACAGCTCCCTCCTTTCACTACAGACCTTCTAAGTGTTTAAAATTACTTAAGCGCCTCTGTGAAATCTTTAAAAGGCTGAAAAGCCCTTGCAAATGCTTTCATTGCGATAGTCAGTCGGACAGCAAAATTCGTCTTCCAAGTGATCTGGCAGGTTTGCTTTGCAGAATCGCCCACGTTATTTTGCCTGAGCCAAGCCCCTTCTTGTCAAGTTTTCAGCCCTTACTGAAAGAGCAGCTTCCTCAATAGATGCTTGTACTCTGCTTGGCCAGACAACGGTTGCATTGCAAACCACAGAAAAACAGGAAGAGAGAATCATGTTTGACCTACACCAGATTCAATGACAAAGGTCACTGCTGGAGCCAGAGCTGCTGTTAGGAACACCTGAAGCACCACAGCCAGGCCAAAACCAAAAAATTCTCAGTGGATGAAGAGGGGAGAAGGAGATTCTAATTTGGTCACGAAGTGACATTCTAGCACACTTTCCATGAAATTCAGCTAAAGAAGCTCTCAGAGATGTAGCTACAACCAGGGACAATTTTCAGAACTGCGCTTCAGAAAACCATGCAGGCATATATGTAATCACATTTTCAAATTAATGCTTCTCCCTTTCATTTTTTTTTCCACCTTGGCACAAGCTTTTAAGTAGACATGTGTTTTGTTGCTAGTGAACAGAATACACGCAGCAGCACAGATGAGCTGTTAAGAGACAGGCAAGGAAAATTCATGCACTTGTAGAAAAATTAAGAAGGCAGAACATAATTATTTAAGGATGGATTTCCTCAGAATACTGAGGCTGGCACTTCTGCAAAAGGGAAATAAGGCTACAATCAGACACTTTCAGGACTCAGCTTCCCATGTTTGTCCTTCTAGTACAACAATCTCCCCCTCTCCTTTCAGGCATCACAGCATATAGTGGAAAAAAAAAAAAACCAAACACAAAACACCAACAACTTCTACAACAGCAAACAACAAATCACTAATTCAATCACTGACACCATTGCTTGCAGCTCTGCCTCTCTTAGCTCTTTCTGTCTCAAGAGATCACACAGCCAGGCCTACAAGCTATAAAACAAAGACCATAAAAATGACAAACTTCCCAGCTGACTTTGTACAACATCTGATAGCCCATACTATCATAATTTACCTAATGCAAAAAGTATTTACATGAAGAACAGAAAGAACCAGGCAAGAATATGGTAAATTTTCCTACAGTAACTATGGTCACCAGCACAGAAAGGTAGCTGGCAGGACATAGCCACTTCCTATCAGCTCTGTACACAAGTTACTGCTGCAACCCTCCTGCCTTTAAACATGAATCAGTCATTATCATGAAGACATTACTCTTTCCACTTCCCAGCCTTCCAGCAAAGGATCATTTTGCCCATCTGGGGCTTACGGAGATCCTGGACAGGGGGACATTTCAATCTTTCTCCTCTTACACAACAGAGATGCCCAAAACACTACCAAAGGATCAGAATGGATCACTCTGATCACACAACAGGGTCTACAGAACAGTGGAGGGGGAAATCGAGCTGCCTTATAAATTCATGCACTACCAAGCCACTAGTGGCCCTCTCCGCTGCCTCCCGATCCAAGTTGCTCTTGTGAGTCACATCTGTCCTTAAAGGTGCTGGTTTTCCAGCTCTAACAGAGGACCACAAGTTTAATTCTTTTCTCAGTATACTGAGAAGCACTCCTTCCTCTCCAGTGCAGAATGGTTAGAGCATCTCACTGAAAGGCTAACAGAAAGGAGCTAAAAATAGAGTTTCAGGATGGGGGAAGGAAAAACCATATGTAAGAGGGAAAAAAAAAAGTTCCAGCAATTGATTTAGAGTAATTCAATTCAGATAGCCTAAAGTGATCACAACAGAAACAAGAACTGCACTAGGGGAAATCTATGAAAACAAACATTTTCCTAGTCCAGTTTCCATATGAAGAGAAGTATAACACTACAATACATGAGCAGCTATCAGCACATTAGTGCATAAAGAGGGCATCAGACCTTCCCTCTAATCTCCGCTAGAACTAAATCAAGCATGACATAATGCCAGGATAACTCCAAAATATTCACCATCCTCTTCACTGAAGGAAATCACTCCTCACAGTTAGGGAACAGTCACCCTGTTCACCCCACTCTGGGCACTTGCAGAACATCTAGAAGCACATATGTATCATTATCAGATTTCCCAGCAAAAACTCCCTGATTTTAAGGGCATGACTCTGTTATGGTACTCATAAAAGGCCTCAGAAACCTTGAGTTTCTCCATCTTCCCTTTCAAAACATTGGTAATTATAAACATGCCTTAGGAGAAAAGCAATACCCTATAGGAAGTACACCTTTGCATTTTAAAAGGCTTGGTAGCAGAGTAAGAGCACGTCTTCTACCTCCAATATTGCTTATGCTAAATAATAACCGTACCCCCAACACCTTTCAGATGTCCAAGGTTTTCTTTTGCCCCTTGGGCACAACGTTAACTACCAGACCTGGTGCGCAACAGCCTCCCTACCAGCAGAGCTCTCCACGAACTAGGCACGTACTACAGCAAAGTTAAGGTCATTCCACAGCTCACCCGCAAAACACTCACCAGGAAAAAACAAACAAACAAAAAATAACCCGAAACGCGCAGATAACAATGGAAACCGCTTAAAGCACTGCCAAGCTCCAAGCACGCCCGAGACCATAAAGTCAGCTCCCTTCTCCCCTAACGCCCTGGAAACAAGCGCGGAAGTGTTACCCGCTGGTGCCCGCGGCCCCCACCTCCCCCTCAAGCCCCAGCCCTGAGGGCACCCGGAGGCCTGCGGAGCGCTGCCCCTC